AAAATTTACTATGTTAGGGGGTAAAAGTACTTTAAACTGTATAAATTCAATTGAAAAAAATTGGCCAATCACGAGAAAGTTAGCCTATATGCACTCGGGACGTTCCTACCTCGAAATTAAAAAAACTGTGCTGATTTACGTACGTAACGATACTTAGTAGGCGTCTTAGACCCGTGCCAAATCGTTATCCGCCTCACTCTCTACTAAGTGTTGTTATTGGTGGTCCTGTCCATTTGACCCAACGACCGACCATCGTTATCCTTTTGTTTGTGGGGTGTGTGTTGGTCACTTACCCGCTAACAATACCATGTAGATCATATGAAAAATGATCTACGGACACCCTACCCTACGTACAAGTATTTGACTATCAAGTTTTTGCTTGATTTGTCGAATACTAATGTTTGCAGATTAACATTTGATTCGTGCTTATCTAAACTCAACTTTCACATAATAAGATTTTGATTGCCGAATTGATAACTAGAGATGTAACATTCATTTCGCACTTCATACCGAGATCATATCGCACAGCTTTGCAAAAGACATATCTCGTGCGAGATCTCATGCAATCACGCGAAATCGTGCGATAGTTTCGTCATCTCACGCGAGACACATCTATAAAAATAACAGTATTATTTGTTATGCGTGAAATTAGAATGGGTGTGAATTTAAACCTGAGTTGTGTCAATTTCAAATTCGAAATGCAAATTCGCGTCGAACTAAAATTAATAATTTATATTAAGTGACGCCAAAGGAAACTAAACTTTGGGGTTCAATTCTTCATATTTTTTTAAGGATTAATTATAATTTTAAAAGCCGAGGTCTGGTTTTTCTTTGGCATCGTTCATATATAATTGAAGCAGAAAATTGTATTACTTTGATTGCATCAGTAATCTAATGAACCCCTTGAAATTATATATATTTCATTTACTTTCACTCCAATGCCAAATTTTTCAGCGACATTTATTGATATTATAATTCTACGCTTATAATGTTTTCGTAAGTATACTAACATTCTGCTTTAGTGCTATTTCTTGACGTATATATGTCCGTTAGAATATATCTAATTCCGTAGATGTACGTAGTGTAGTAATTTTCGATACCAGTTTTTTGACGTCTTGGTATAAAAAACTTGCGTAAAATCATGAACAATCTAATAATTATTTAATTTGGCATGAAATATGTGAAGAATTGTTTTTATAAACTAGTTTGACGCATCTCAAGAATCCAATATGACGCACGACATCTACACTATACAAAAAAATGAGAAACTCAGATTAGAGAGATTTTTATTTTATTCGATTCTTCACTTAGGAATCGAATGGTGAAAGCATCAAGCTACTAGATCCGAGATGACTTTGTCTGAATTATATAATTAGAAGACGGATTGAATACAAATTGATGTCCCGATGATGAGGAAAGAAATCAGATTGCTCATATCCGAGATATTTCAAATCATTAAAATATCTGTCTATTTCAGATTTATTTACGTGGAAGCAACTTCATTAGAAAAGTCTATCGTGTCATTTATTTTTAGTTTCGCAATACTACTCAAAACATTTATAAAAATTTATTGCCCAAATTATTATTTTCTAAACTCTATAAAGTCTACCTTTTAGATTATTATTCAATTACGGCAATTTTTAGTAAAGAAAAATGTACTTAAAATAAATTTACCATATAGAAATAATGCCTAAATTGTATGTAGAATATTGTAGACATAAAAATGAATCGAACATTTGAATTATAAAAATAAATGTATAGGATTTTACTGTCAGAATATCATGTAAGTTTAATCTAATAATAAATCATGTTATATCTACGAATTCTTTTTTAAACATCAACTAATAACAGAATATCAAATTTTAAATTTAAAACTTAAATCCAGAATGTATAGCGGCGACACCAAATGTTAAATCTTCCCAACCGTTACCAACGATAGTAAACCCAGCACTTTTTATCATTTCAGCAAACTTATCTTGAGAAGGAAACCGTTGAATACTTTCTACCAAGTATTGATACGAATCTCTATCTGCTGCAATTACTTGTCCAAGTACCGGAATTATTTGAAATGAATATAAATTATACATCCTAATTTTGGAAAAAAAAATTGTTGATTGATTGAAAGATGGGATATAATCTGATAAGTTTGAGTTAATATGAACTTACGTGGAAATAATAGGGTTCTGAACTTTTCCAAACTCCAAGCACATAAATCTTCCACCTGATCTTAACACTCTATAAGCTTCGGATAATACACGATCTATATGTGTACAATTACGTATACCAAATGCTATTGTGTAAACATCAAATGAATTGGATGGGATTGCGGAAAGATTCTCTGCATTTCCTATCTCAAATTGAACCTGAGACGCTAAATAAAATAAAAGTTTAAATAATGATTCTATGGAATGTATAGAATAATCTAGCTAAAAGATAAAATAAAATATAAATTACTCTGATGATAAGGTGTCTTTTTAAACCTTTCTCTGCCCACATCAACCATTTTAGGATTAATATCTAGTAATGTAACTTGGGCACTCGAATCCCCATGAATTTCTTTACAATAGTTGAGAAACCCCATTGCTATGTCACCTATACTCCTCATCAATTCAATATAATCATTTTCAGTCATGGACTCCTTCATACAAGAATCAAAAATCTAATGAATTCCATCAATATACCAGTTCCTCCGGCAACATCCAACAGCTTTGTGCCAGGTCCAGGCGCCATTGTGCGAATAAAATGATCCTTCCATAATCTATGGATACCCAAACTCATCGCGTCATTCATTACATCGTATTTTGAAGCTACATTTGTGAATACTTGACCAACTTTTCGTTTCAAGAAATAAAATACGAGATTATTAATTGTCATGCTTTTTTTTACATTTTAGTTATTATTTTTTTTTTAAAATACCTAATGTTTCTTTCATACTTTCCGGAACATTTTTAAATCCAAAATCCGTCTCGGGTTCCTTTTTATCATTATTTTTTATTGTTCGTTGATCTGATGTTTGTTGAAAAGTGAATGACGCAAATCCTCGAAAAATCTCCGGATATGTTAATCGTGGTTTCAACGACACTAATGGTCTTAAAAGACCGATACCTATAGGAATCAGCATCAAAAATTAAGTTGATAAACGTATACGTAGTGATAGATGTTGGTCTGAATAGTTATATACCAAACATAGATCATTTCAAGATTATCATTTCAAGATTATCATTTCCGCATAAATTTTAAGTGATGCATCTTTATACGGTTTTTGAAATAACTGGAATGATTCAAGTTCTAGTACTTCACTAAAACATGTAAGTACAAATTTTAAAATTTCATCGTAGGTACGAGTATTACTTGGCTGAATTCATATTCATATATATATTATTAAATAAGATGCAGTTACAAGAATTTCTTTTATGGCATTATGTTGTCACCACTTTGGTAACAATATGCAGTTTTCTCATAGTTTTATAGTAAGGTAGAAATATTTTTCACCCTTAAATAAAATTTTCGGATACAAATTTTTTTTATTTACCAGACGTAACATTGTATAAGAAAAAAATGGTTTTTTCTATCAAGTATTTTAAAGTGACATACATCAATTTAAGAATTTAGAAAATTCTTCATACATATCAAGCTGTGACAAATTAATAGAAGGACTAGATTTTGAAAGAGCTTCTAAAAGATCTACTTGATTTATATTGCACTATAAATAAATAAATAATTAATTATGAATTATAACAGGTACATTACATTACAATAATTCGACAATTAAGTACCTCAGCGTCAAGATTTAATTGTCGTTCTCCAGCCTTGTATTTCTTAAGCCTCAAAAGAGCTGCCCTTTGTACTAAAGCTTTTAAATCAGCACCAGTAAAATTCTCTGTTTTTTCTGCAATTTCTCTAAGATTCACGCTTTTAGAAAATTTCATTTTAACATTTTGTATTTGTAAAATTGAAATTCTTTCAGAAAACGATGGCGGTTTAATGTAAACTAATCTATCAATGCGACCTAATTTAAACAATAGGTAAATAACAAATTTCAAATATGTAATAATTTTTATTAAATAATACTAATTTACATTAGATTTACCAGGTCTTAATAAAGAAGGATCAATAGCTCTTGGATTATTGGTTGAAGAAAGCACAACAACTCCCTGATCCACTGAATCTAATTGATCCAATTCCAACAAAAGCTGTGATATTATCTATGAAACAAATACAGTATTAGTTTTAAATTACTAATATTTTAATGTTACAGTATAAAAATTACCTTTCTACTAAAGCTACCACTGGACTCTTTAGTTCCAAACATGGCCTCCAATTCATCCAAGAATATTATGCAAGGACTACATCGACGCGCTAATTTAAATATATTGGCTATTGCTTTCTCTGATTCTCCAACCTAAAACATCAAATTCAACATTAATTAGTTATATATGTTTAACCTAACAGATGAAAGAAATAATGCAAAGAATATTTCTTACCTCACCTTTGATCAAATCCGGTATTGAAACTGGAATGAAATTGGCAGATGACTCCGTGGCCACGGCTTTAGCTAGTAGAGTTTTACCCGTACCTGGTGGACCATAACTATAAATTTGGAATAATATTAAAAAAAAAAGTCTGTTTTAAAAAAAAAAAAGAATAACATAGTGATGCAACCCACAGTAGAACACCATTAGAAGGTTTTATTCCAAGATTGCGAAAATCATCGACGTGTTTATATATCCAAATTACTGATTCTTCTAATATGCTCTAAAAAAAAGTGTTTCAATACATTTATCAAGTTTATCTTTTTTAGAGATTAAAATCCAAATAATCCTACTTTTACTTCTTCTAGCCCACCAATATCAGACCATTTTACTGATTCAACTTTCTGGACACTATTCTTTTCTTGTAAACCACTAATTCGGATTTTTTGCAATCCATATAAAAAATCAGCATTATAAATTTTTAATTCACATGGTTCACCTAAAAGTTCCATGAATATAACATATAAAAATGATGTGCTAAAATTTTAAATAACTTTTTTAAAAAAAGAAAATGACTAGACCAGTTTGCTGTATGCTTTTAGCATCGCTATGTTCAGCGGCCATTCTACATAACGAAACAACATCAGCAGCAACAAATCCATGACATTTATCATTAATGTTTTTGATGTCAACATCTGAAGCAAGATCTAAATTCTTGGTACATGTTTCTAGTATTTCTAAACGTTCCATGGGAGTTAGGGTTCCAAATTCAATTTCATCCTATAAAAAAAAATCTATTTTAAAAACCAATTAATTGCACAATATAAAACATAAAACTTACTTCAAATATTGATCGAGCAACTTGACTTATAGAATCAATATTGGTAGAAGTTCCAATCTGTAACATACCATAACTTTAGCAAAAGTAAAATATATTAGATATATAAAAGGTGACAAAGCACTTACAATTGAAATGGCCACTTTTTCTTTAAAACACTTATCCAATAATTCACGAAAATAATATGCAAGTAAAGGATTGTCACCATTAATTGGGAAAAATAATTCAATATTTTCCAATAATACTTTAAAGAAAACAGCGATGATTTTTTAAGTACACCAATAAGTAAAAAAATAAGAAACATTAGATCTTCGTTGTTTACTTTATATACGATACTTACGCACACTTGGTTGATTATTATAAGCAAGGGCTAAATAATGACGTAGCCCTTTTTCTGGTTCTGCCGGGAATTCTGCAGCCAAATCTCCAATAGTCAAACTAAATAACTAATTAAATTTATATTTATTTTTTTCCAACGTTTGAACAATAAGAAAAAGGTCTAAACTACAGAATTACCTTAATCCGATATTTAGAACATAGCTCATAAATAATGTACGTTTTTCCTTGTTACAATACAAATACAAATGAACGTCAACTAATTGCTATAAAACTTTGATGAATTTAATTATTCCGAAAGGAAACCTGTTCCAGAAGGCCCAAATAGTAATATCGATTTGGGTGGTTCTACATTTACAAGAGAATAATCATTTCGATATTTAAAAAAAACGTTCAATCCTGTTAACATTTTCAAACATATTTATGCGACCTAATTTCGAATATATAGCTAAACTATTAAATTTTAGATGTGCGTATCGTTATCAAATTAATTTTACTCACGTGAAAAATTTGCACTTTTAAGGATAAGATGTAATGTTCACATGTTTATTTTGTTGCGTCATTTTTGATACTTGATCCGTAAGAAAGATGGCAGCTTTTCCAAATCTTCGTCGAGTCTTTTCATCCTTTCGTACACCGGAAGAAGAACGTCAAATATCTCGATCAGCTTTCTTCAAATTCGTGGGATTCGTCATTTCTTGTATGGCCATCACTATGTTAGCTAACAAAAATAGAATGAAAACAATAACCCATCATTAATTGAAGTTGTAATAATTTTTGGTTAGTCAAGTTTCACCATATAGTGTTAATAGAATTTTGGCATTAGTATGCAATCATAAAATGAATAACATTTTTATTTATTTATTTAATAAGAGGATTTATGAAAAAGATATATAGAAAAAGGGTAAGAAATAAGTGTAAACTTTTATATCAAAGCTGTGCATAAATGGAGTTTGAGTTAATTTAATTAAATAAAATACAAACCTATTCAGCTGTCAAACTATTTTTATATTTCATTATATTATCACTTACAATTTTATTCTGATAAGTTATAATTCTTTCGTAACTATTATTAAAGGTTATATGAGTGTCGTCAAAAGAAAACCCGACAATCTAAAAATAGATCACATAGATCACTTATGAAATTCATAAGGGCAGGACGGGTATTATGGCGCACCTAAGATTGCTAATAGTAAAAATTCTTAGGAAAAAAATATTATTCCAAAATTTTATTGAAATAAACTAATATTCGACTTAATCTTTGTCGACAAACAAAAAAAAA